CCTGAGCCAGAGGAAGTGTTGTAGTGCATTTGTCCTCAGGATTTTAATCACCAAATTGCCGGAATATTTGTCCAATTTCATTGCTAACGTCTCAACATGATGATTCAAATCCAAGTAATAACGTGACTCATTGCGAATTATGCATTTCTGTTGTCACTGTCACCCGTCTCCACCCTGTTTTCACTCGCACTCCAACAAAGTGAGCAGCGGTTGTCTGGGAGCAGAAAATGTCAGGAATACGACTCAGCTACATAAATCCTAAAGAACATAACTGAAAAAAAACATCCATAAGAAAGAAAGCAGCATTTCTGACACAGTGATATGGTGATATGTCAAACTTTTATTGTAACATAAAGGAAGCACAAACAAAGGGAAGCTATGAGTAAGGGACGTTAGCAACGTTAGCCGTATGCCTCTCTACAAGAATGTTTTACACTTCCTCACAAAGAGATTTAGTCAATATTAGCTATACATTTTAAGCTAGCTACCTAAGATAGGCAGTCATCTTAGGTAGCTAACCTATGTTTGGCAGCTAGGTAGCTACCCAACCTGAGTCAGTTGTCTAGTTAAGTTAGCTACCTGTGCTAGATAGCCAACTTAATTTTTGTAACTTAGTAGCTAACTGAAAATATTATATACTGTATGTTTTAGGACATTAGTTTCCATTTCTCGTTATTTGTTAACCACCATGATCAACAAGCTAACGTCAGCTAATGCTAGTGTGGAGGGCTGCTCTTGAACTCCACTTGTTCTCAGCCACTAAATGTTTTGGTCTTGATTTGGTCTCACAATAGGAGGTCTTCACTACAAAAAAACCTGGTAAAAAAAATCTGAAAATCACTTCAACAGAACCTGTCTGACAACACGAAGTAGGCTAAAGACATTCAAGCTGAACTGATGAGAAGCAACGTCCATCAGTCTGGGACGGATTACAGAACCATTTTTAAGATTTTGAACATAAAAGTGCTTGAGATGTCATAGCATTAACCCAAACAGCCTGGTCATGCTCAGAAACCCTCCAATATGGCTGACATAAAGCCATTCTGCAAAGAAAAGAGGGCCACCTTGACTGTTGGGTATGGTTGAATTCTTAAAAATGGTCATACAAAACAAAAACTACAGTAATCTGTAAGGGAGCGTATAATTTTTGTGACACATGCATTCCTCCTGATGTCTACAAATGAAATCCTGCCTATTGTGTTTTTGTTGGAGTGAAGCTGAGAATCTGCCACAGGATCCGATAGACAAAGAAAGAAACGGGTTCATCACAAGGGTTCAGCTGAACATGAATGTCAGCAGCTAATTGGATAAAAACAGCGCTGGGATCAAACATTCAGAAGTAAAAGGGTAATAACAAATGATTAGATGGCCTATAATTTCTCTCTCCCTCTCAGTTCTTTGATTGTGAGATTGGAGATTTGTGATTTTGCGCTTAATCTAATAGACGGAATGGAAAAAGACTTGAATTTAATCAAAGAATGCATGACCTTTAATTGACTCAATAAATGGTGCCGATGTCTTCCATATGGTAACCACAGGGACCGTCGCTTTAAAGGTCCTGGCATGGTTTCCTTTGAACAACAGGACAATAATTCACATCTTGTGAACATACGCTCCTCTTATCAGAAACATTACTTAGATTCTCATTCTCCATCCCAAACTACACGCTGGTTTCAATTATCTTCCCTCCATTTACTCTCATCTGCTACAGACAACGAGATTTCTACCATCCTTAGGGTACAATCTAGCCACAGACAGAAGTTTCTCATTGTGGGTGAACTGTGTTTGATGCCAGTAGGGCAGGAATGGCTAACGGTCCAGAACAAGCATCTTGACCCGGATCTATCCATCTAACAGGCTCTGAGAGGTCAGAACCCTGCAGGAAAGGTTCAACAGTAATTATACCATAATCACCTCCTTATTTGGTCTATCTAAATTTGAACACGTTATATGTCGGAGTTAAGAATGTATAAATGTTCATATAAATGCTGTTTTATTTTTCAACCTCTAAAGCGGATGTATCATATAAAATACACCTCTTTAGCTTGCAAATAATTATATTTATTTTATTTTGTTGTGTACTGTGAGTCTCTAGAAGAGCTGAAAACTCAAATGTAATGTCTTCCGGTGTTGTGTGGATCATATTTTTCAATCCGTTCAGTTTTCTCTATTCCTTATTACAATTTTTTTAACTATTGGGTCATGATAATTGTTGCAGAGCTGCCAAATAAGGTCATGGTCAGCTAACTAGCTAATCAACTGTTGTTTTGCTAGCAGTTGGTGCAGTCTACTAGCTGTTAGTGTAGCGTCCCGGTTCAGCGTTTTCTGGCTGCGACGTGTTCGGCTGGATGGACACATTGTCCTCCATTGTTGGTGTCTTTTAATCAGTTTGGGAATGAAAAGTTTCTGAGCTGCTGGAGAATTTTAACTGCTACCAAACTGCAAAAATGGCTGAACGATGGATGAAACACTCATGTGCAGTTAGAGAAACGGCAACAAAACGAGTTGCTCTCAGGCCAGGGGTCGAAGAGGAGCATGAAGAGCTAGCTAATATTTTTTATTTAAAAAAAAAAAGCAGAATTTTGCTGTATAATTTGTATTGAATTGACCTAAATGTAATCGATTTGAACTAAATTCTACATTTGTAGATGATTTGACTCAGACATAGAAGCATATCCTTCTTTCAGCCATGTTTTGATCGTCCTGCCATGAACACCAGACTGACCATAAAGCCATCCAGTTTGCTGCAGTTCCTTCAGCTCCACATTTTGCCATCAGCAGGAATGCTGAGAAATGAAAACCACCACTAACTTTGGTAATGGAAGCACCAGGCGTTCCCAGAGGTCCAGATGTGCGGCGGCTCTGTCAGCACAGAACATGATTTGATATATACGGAGAAAACAAGTGCGATCTTCAGATATAAACTGCTCCGTGATCAAAGTGGCCCCAATGCTAATTTGCATAACAAACATGTCGAAGCCACAAGACAGAAACGGCTGCAGAGGCGTATGGTTTGGATTTCCCTGGAGGATCTGTGCAGGAAGAGGCTCTGTTCCTCCATCACCGTGTTATTTGCAGCTGCAGTGGGAAGCAGGTACTGCTGCTGGTTCTTCACCTCAGAGCACACAGGAAGTGGCTTTATAAGAGCGGAGACCCGAGAGAGGCACGGACGCAGAAGAGCTCAGCTTCCACAAATCAGAGAGATGCTGATGTCAGTGATTCACAGTCTGAGTTTTCTACAAACTCAGGTCTTGTCCAGATGTAGCCAGGTTTTATGAAAACTTAACATATCCACTGCGTTCTCTGAAAAATAATACAATCAAGCACAATGGATCGTTTTCAAAGAAGTTTTCATCCACATGAACCCACACCGATCCACCCCTGAACGTTGTTTTTCACATGCCATGCCCACAGGGGGCAGTGTAGTGCAAAGCTAAAATCTGTCAGCCAATCAGCTAGGTTCAAAACAATTACCACTTCCTGTTAGGAGTTAAAACACGATGCCATTGCGTTTACTACGACGGCGTACTAGAGCCATTTTAGGAAGGAAAAAAAAGAGGAGTACAATTTCACTAAAAAAATCTGAAAAACTGTCTAAAAAAACAAGGGAATTCTCTGAGCTCAAAAAGTTGTAAATTTGCAAGAAAACAATCAGAAATTTTGAGATTACTTTTCTGAAAATCAACAATTTTCAACTCTACAAACTCAAAAAAAATTCAAAGTTTTTCTTTTTTAGAAAATACATTAAGTTAATGTGAATTTTTTTTTAGTTTAAAATTAAAATTCTTGCAAATTTTAGACTTTTGGAGCTCAAAAATTTCCAGGTTTTTTCTATAAAATTTCTGAAGTTAATCTAAAAATGTCTACATTTTGGACAGAAACATCCTCCTTTTTTTCCCCCCTTAAGTACAATGGCCCTAATACGCCGTCATATTTGACAGATACATAGGTTGAGCTAGTATTAAATATTGTATTAGGACGTAAAATTAATAAATAAATTGATTGAGAATCAATCAATGTGTCAAAGTGGATACCCTAATGCACAGCATCCTAAATCTCCATTTTCTTAGGAACTCATGCAAACACAAATACAGAATCTCAAATCTCCACTTTAAAGATAAACAATCATTTTTAGTGATATTAAACAGAGTTTTTACGGTGATAAAAGACAAAGTGTATAAAAACGCATTTGTTTTTCCAGATATCGTGTTGACTCCGACTTCCATTCAACCATTTTAAAGTGAAAAAGATCTCAGTGAATGGTGGATGTTTTTGTCGAGATTATTTATTGCTTGCAAAGCTGATTTTCCAAACCGTATTGTGATTCCTTGTTTTTCTGTGCTGTTGTGACTTGGCGCTGCCTTGCAGCGCCTCGTGGTTTCAGAAACGTGAAGGTGTGAAAGCGTGTCGTCTTGACCCGCGCTGGCCCAGATCTTTAAATAATCATCAACCCTCTCCGTTTCTCCAGGGATTCGCAGCCGAGACGTTTATCCGTGGAGACACAGGTGTGAGAAGCCAACTGTGAATAAAGCCTGGCTCACAAATCCCATCTGGACCCAACGTAGAGTGTGCTAAACGGTGTCTTCATTTGGTTTTGGATAACAATTCAACCATAAGCAAGAGAAAACGGCAGAATTTTTGGAGATAATCAGCTGTTTTCAATGTCTTTTTGTGGCTAATTTTTAGAGAACAAAATACATTCATGACATATAAATGGATGGATGGATTTAAGTCCTCTGGATGTAAAGCAGCTAAATGTTTCTTCTCCAGCCAACCCTCGTCATCAGCTTTCATGTGAACTTTTTCCTTCCTCAGAAAGTGGCTCCCTTTGTAACCGGAGTCCCATCAAAACCACAAGTTGACGTTTTTACATTTCGCCACGTCACACGTAACACACACACGACGGGTTAATAATCAGCCAGATTTAGCCACACTGACAGATGTGTCAGTGGAGATGGACTAACTCAAAGTAAATATGGAAATTTCTTTTTTTTCTTTTCTTGATGAGGCTTAGAGTGGAGAAACATTGAGTTTGGGGCTAACAACGAGGGAGGGGAGCGCATCTATAGCCTTTCCCATCCCAAAGGCCTCCTTGTTCTGCATGTATGTGTCGAATAGACAGGTTACCGTGGTGATTAAGCTCCTCTTTCAAGCCCGGTCCCATCTGAAGGTGGACGCGATCTTTGAAACAGAAGCTTGTGGGCTCTCGGGCCGCCTCTGACCCGCCTGATGACAGTTCCTGTTCATATGAGAGGAGCCGTGGCGTTACGGAGGAGCCCGCAGAACCCGGCTCTCCCATGGGAACCCGGGCCCGAACCGTCTCGGTGCATTGTGGGTCGCCGTAGAGGCCTGTCAGCCACACAGAGCGGAGACAGTTAGCCAGCAGTGAGGGAAACAAGGACCTGCCCCATAGAGCCGTTTAATGGAAGACAATGAAAGGATGACTGACTGCAGGGGTCATCTTAATTGACTAAATATGTCCTCTTTTAAATATGGAACATATTTTATTCAGTTTTAAAGCTCTTCATTACTTAAAACTTGCTATAATTATTAGGTTTGCATCTGATTAAGACAAGAAACTATCTCGTTATAATGAAAAAGTTCCTCATTCTTAAGTGAGCATCCAGAATACGACAGCTCCACCTCAGTACTGAGCTTACGTCATGTGTCAATTGTGACGTAATTGTGCAATATTTCTTATTTCATCCACCTGAACAAGATGCTATTAGATGCAAAAGAGGGACGTAATTAACACATTTTTTTTTCTTCCATAAATTGTTTCAGCTGCTGTTGGCCTCCGAAAACAAGGGTTTTGTTTAAAGCAAACTTGCAACTTCAAGCAGAATGTAAGTAGAATCAAAAACTATCGTAATGCCAACACGCATTTTTACTCAAAAGCATATTACTATTTTATCATTAAGCTTCATTTAAACAGCTGAGATCAATCATGCTCACCTAAACTGCAGAAAGCTTTAATCACTTTGTTCTCATTCTTTTTCGTTCTTGGCAGAGTCTCCTGTTGTTGTATTCTTTTGCTATATATAAATATTTTAGATACATTTTTCGAATTAGCTGCAACTTCTGACCGGAAGAATAATTTGCAAACGAAGCACAGCTGCGCTTTCTGCTTCTCGAGGACATTTTTTTACTTAGGTTTGGTTAAGTAAGGAGACCAGTTCCATCTAGTGTTTGTAAATGCACATTGCAGGCTGTTGGCTTCCTAAAGGTGACTGTTAGCCTGAAATAACCGGAAGTAACTAAGTCTGACATTCGCCAAAGGCCAACGACTGTCAAATAAAGACCAATAGAGCTGACAAAGCCTTCAAAGAAAATGTACTTTTATTACATCTCTATTCTCTTTAGACTTGATATGCTGTCAGTTGTAATAATTAGTCGAAGCTAATTCAAATGCTAAGGTGCTAATGTACATTTGATTTCATAATTTCATTTGACCTAATTAATTATGCTTATGACTACATTTGCTAATGAAGGAAGTTGCTATGGTGTTTAGCTCTGAATAGACCAATTGTTCGAATGAAAAATAATTATATTTTTCACTCAAAGTATATTTGTATTTTTGATATTAGCACTAAAATGCTACATGTTAGCTTTTAGGTAAACACTTTGTTAGCTCTTTGTCAACCCTCAAAGCTGGAGGCTTTATTTGTATTTCCTGTTAAAAATAATATACCAACACAAGTGATTGTTAAAAATCAGATTCCAAAATAGAAAATCACATAAGGTCAAAGCACATAGAAAGAAAATGTGATGGGGAATCCCAAAGGTTTTTCTGGTCTGAATGATGGGACAAGGAAGCAGTTTGTTGCTTAAATGGCTTTTTATAGAGTTACAGCGGTTTCCATGGGTATCACTTTCTGCCCGCTTTGGAATCTAACAAACAAATCCAAAAATCCACATATAAAAATCAAATGATTGGTCCATCATGGATTTGCCAGTACAGCGTGATAACATAGATTTTTAACATGTATAATGTAAATTTAAATAGTGTGATTTTCCTGCCATAATGCTTCAAAGCTGATATGTTTTCCACACAATGAAAACAAAGACTTCACAGCTTCTCGGAAACCAATTTTAATAAGTCAAACACTTCACATGAAAATAAAA